TCTTGAATCTCCTGTTTACACTACATAAATAAATTCGCATAAACTGCAAAAGAGTTGCGGTCTACTGCTTTATTGGTTCTATTTTGTTCATTATTCTTATTTTCATTAGCGAGTTGAATTAGTTGGTAATGCATTTTCCAAAGTTCATCAGTTGCAGTTATCAGTTATCTATAGAAGTATTTATACTTTTTGGAATATGTATTTTTTAAAGTTGAATAAAGAAATATATATAAATAAAATTTTATTAAAAAAACAATCTTGTCTTCAGTTACTGTTAACATACAGCCATGTCTAATATAAACAACAAATTTTCGCGTAGAACGCTTTCTCTGTCCTTCCCGTCAAGTTCACTTGAAGACAAACAATAAAGTGTGAACTTTATACAATAAAGTGTCTTTCAATAATAAACAATAAACAATAAGTTAAACAATAAAGTGTCTTTCAAGTTCACACTTTATTGTTTGTCTTCAAGTGTGAAACTTGTCTTTCAAGTTCACTTGTCTTTCAAGTTCACACCTTACTGTTTGTCTTCAATGTGAAAATATCGCCTGAGGCGATATTTTCACATTAAAGACAAACAGTAAGATTGCGTGCCATATGAAATACATCTCTCAATTCCTCCCACAACTTCTCTGGCATGGCTAATTAGATTTTTTATTGTGATTCTTTTCAATGCATCATTTACGGCTAACTATATAGTGTAGACAGCACATCTTTGAAGATGTATAACAATCATGCTACTAGCAACTCCACTTGCCAAGACTGCTGCTGCATTGTCCACTTTACAATAACCATCTTCGTCAAACTTTTCAGTTTCTACTGAAAAATCGTCTTCGTAAACTATGATTTCCTTAACGACGCTGATGTTAAAGTCACGCACCAACTTTATACTCATCTAAAGATATTAAATATGATTTCAATAGTTAGTTTAAAGTAGATTGAATATACCTTACAGTATATAAAAGTTTTTATCAAAACAGTTTAATTTTTAAACGGTTTTATGGAAAATAATAACTTTAATCACATAGTTTTAAATTTTTTTTATCAACAAAAACTATAGTGAATTTCAAAATATATTTCTTACTACTGCGTTGTCAACACTGAGGCCTAAAATATTAGTTTTATTGATTCCAAACTTATATAAACACTTCTCGATAATTTTTTAAATATATTCCGCTGTTTGTTTTCCCTTTGTATTTATGGTGCCAAGATTGATTTAAGCAATTCCATCATTGTTCGAGTATTGGGCATTTATACCAAGGTAGTGGCTCATATGTCTTGATGTAAAATCGACTTACAAATAAATTAGCATTTTCGATAGTTTGTTTTCGATTTGTTAATGATGCTTTTTGGCAAGATCGATAATTTGAATTCTCATATTATCTCTAATCATTTTAAATCCAAAATGAGATGAAACTTTTTCGCAAAGCGTTTGAATAGGTTCCCAATCAAATGCCTATAGATATTGTTTTTAGAATGATAAATGTTTATTTAAAACTACCAAAAAAAAAAAATAATTGTTTAGATTTTTTTAAAGTAAGTTATTTTTATTTATTTGTTGAGGTATTTTTATAAGCTTTTTTTAGCGTCTTTCTTACCTAGATGGTACGTTTTTTGCCTATTGTTTAGATCATTAGTTTGATTTTATAGTGCAAACTCACAGACAAATTTGATTATTTATTGCATATAATTAATTTGTTAGTGAAATTTAACAATTTTTTGTATCTAAACCATATTGCTTTCATTGCAATTTTTCATTAGGCGGTGTTAAAATAAAAATTTTGATTTTCTTCAGAGTAGACTGAAAACCAAAGTACATAATTATACTATCTCATGCCATTTTGGGTTGAAATTAAAAGAAGTGAAAATATTTTTTTTCTAATAGTATTTACAAGCTTCATTTATTTATAAGTAAAGTTTCCTATTATAGTTTACAGTTTTAAATAGTGCTTAAACAAAGCAAAAATATACTGGCAATTTTTTTAAAGATTTAGACTTTGGTAAAAAATTTGTCTACTGCTCATAACCTAGTTAATCATTTCTAATCGACTTTCTTTCTATGATCAATCTAAAAAATTAAAGATAACGAAAAAACTTATGCATAAACCCAACTTCAATGCTAAAATATCATTTATTTCTAAATTTGGTAAATATTGGTGTCCTACAATACATAAACTATTGGGTGGGCATTGGGGGTCAAGGGAGAGAAGGAGGTGTTTAGAGGATGTGTAATCCCCACTCTCTCCTAAAATGAAAGATTGCAATTCTATCAAAATAATATACATTTTAATTATGGATAGGACTAACATTGAGTTGATAGCCCTATTAGTACTGAAGTCAGGTTGGGGCACTGCCCCTCATGGGGAAGGTGGGAAGACTTTGCCCCAAGATACAGAAATATATATTTAAAATATGATATCTATATCCTTAAGTAGCTTGCACACAAAATTTTAGTTTGCTATGACTGTTGTATCATTTTGCTCCAAAATCTATATGATTTTAGTAAAAAGGTAATGAATATAAAATATTTATCTTTGTTAAATCTACCACTGTTTTAAAAGTAAGCCTCAAAGTGGTCAAATGTACCCCACCGGAGGGGAACATTCGACCACATAGAAGGGGGCTTTCGACCATATCATTATTAGGAAAATGATAAATCTATAAGCTTTCTTTCTTATAAATGTTTTATTATACGATGAAAACTTTTTCTTAAAATATTAAAAAACAAATAGTAATAGCTATTTTACAACAAGATTTGCGTAGTTATATTGACATAAAAATAGCGTTGCCGTTCTTTCCGTATTTGTTGGAGTCGCAGACTTTAAAAGCAATTTTTTTTCAGGTTAATAACTTTTCTTTTTTTTAATTTTTTCCAAATGAAGTTTTTCAATCTTTTCCTTTTCAGGAGTGCATATATTGTTGACTTGATTTCCTCCTTATTTATTTTGTCTTTGAAAAGCTTTAGGCATGGGCTGCACATGTTCTGGAATCAGTTTTTAGTTGTTAGAGTTATTCTAGTAGTTGCAGGAGGAATTGGTTTTATTGGTAGATGAGGGTGGTAAACTATTTTGTAATGGTGTACCTATTACCCCTAGACTTTCACTTTTTTCTTCTATTAGGGTTTGATTTGTAACTTATCTGGGCATAAAATCTTTTTGTGGCTTGTGGTTCAGACAGTGAATTATTGAAAATACTAATAATTTTATCTAATACCACATTTTCATTTCTTTTATTTCTATATATTTTCGTTACATATTTTCGAGGCATCTAAAAGATAAGAGAAATAAATTATCGTGGTATTTTCAAGCACCGGTCGAATGTTCCCCAGCTAGGTAGGTCGAATGTACCCCACACATGTTATATATAAACGAACGCTGTTAAAAGCCGAAATCAATTTTTTAAAGTAAACCATGCGGCAGTGGTGTAGTGGTAAGAGCGCTTGCTTTGTAAGCGAGAGGTTCGGAGTTCGACTCCCACCACGTCCCTGGAAGTACCGCGCTCAACTTAGTTTCTCCGCGCAGCGGCCTTGCTTGTCAAGGTTCGTGTTTCGGAGTTAAAGAGTTGAGAGAGGGTTGTACCACGAAATACAACAAAAAAATAATAAAAAAAAAAAAAACACAAAAAAATGAGTAGCCTCCTCGACTGTAGTGGCCCCCTCGGGCCTTGGGGAGGTGAATAATGTAAAAAAAAAAAAAAAAAAAAAAAAAAAAAAAAAACTAAACACAAAGGTTTTTAACTCAAGATATCATTAAATAATAAACAATAAAAAAGTTTAGGAGGTTAAAATTGGAAATGAGATTCTCTGTGAGTTATTTAAAACATAAAAAAATTACCTTTTTGATCAATAATTCCATTTTCTTTAATATAAGTACTATACTAATAAAGATAGATCAATACTTATTTTTCTTGCAATAGCTTATTAACAAACAAAACATTGATAAAAATTTTAAGTGGTAGTTTTTATCATGTTGGGAAATATTTAAAAAGGTCGATGGTCGAATGTTCCCCGTCTTTCCATACACAATAACCTCTACATATTGGAAGTAATGTACATTTGTATTCAACTTTCCAATACTAACACTTTTTATCTAACCAATCAGTTTTGATTTGTTTAATCTTTTTTTTATATCTCAACGATTTCATTTATCTTAATTTATAAATCCAATTTATTTAATAAATTATAATTTCAAAATTATTTTAAGAAATAAAAACCCCCCAAAAAAAGGCAAAATTTCTTTGGAAAATGAAAATGTGAAAATTCCAAAACATACAAGTAAAAGGAAAGAAAGTGATCGTACAAAGAAATACTTCTTAGTTGGTAAGATGTCCTCAGTTAGGCTGCCAACCAGGGCTGAGGTTATCAAGCACTTCCTCTACCTATAGGAGAAGAATGGTCCAACTTCAGAGACAAATTGACTTGTTTCCTGCCTTTTTACAAAGAACCTAACACAAATATAGTATACTTTTTCAACTTTTTTTTCATAGTAAGCAAATATTGCAAATAATTTCCTTAAATATTATTCATTCAAAAATTGTACAAGTAATTTTGTTTTATTTTTAGTATGGAACTGAGAAAAAATTTAAAAGAAAATTTTTTTTTGCTTTAGTGTGCAGTTTACCTCTGTGGATTCTCCTTGCAGTGAGGAATGTATTCTAAGTTCACTATGGTTTCCATGGCTAAGATCAGGTTTTACCATGATTGGACCTGTTACCCTCTAATGGAATATATCAAAATATAAAAATATATTTGAACCTTAAGAAGAGCCAGCATAAGTGTCAGAGAGGATATATTTAATCACGTGTGTGGTTTGAGAGATCAGTGAGAGGTTATGTATATATCTTTTTGATTTTTTTTTTGTTTATTTATTACAAATTATTGTTTTCTGAAAATGTTTAGATATTATAAAAATCAAGATTTAAATTTCTTGGTAAGTTTTTTATGATTAGGACTGTTCTGGTTGAGTGATACAAAGAAAAGTCTGATAAAAGCTATCAAAGCTGTCAATGATAGGCTTCCATTTGACAAGTATGGAGATATACTTTTTCTGAAGGATGGGAGAAAGGAAAATGACTATAGCTCCTATTGACAAGCGAAGAAAAAAGATCGAATTGAGGTGAATGGAACATGCAAAGAAATTAGTTACTGTTATTAGACGTATAAAAGATGACCCTATTCCTAGTACCTCAATTGTTGCAAAACATTCATTGTTAGTATTCTCTTCAGAATCAAGTTCTAAGACCGACTCCGAGAATGAATTCACACCTGTTATGAAAATCAAAAGACAGGGTCAGACCATTACTGTTACTAAAGAAGTTATTGAGAAAATGAGAACTGCTCTGGCTTTGGATATATCAGCTCATAAAATGACTGCAACATTAATTAAGCTGATTACAGAAGCAGGTGGAGATCTCAAGGAATTTCCACTTTCCTATACCTCAGCTTTTCGAATAAAAAATGGTATCATTAACCAAGGTGAAGACAATATAAAGATTCTCATACAAAATGAGATTAAACATGATAAAGCTCATCAAGGTTAGTTAATGTGCTATCAAAAAAGTAATCAAATTAAACTAATATTTTGTAATAACCTACCTTAAAATGTTTCCAGGATTTGATAAAGGCTTACAATGATAAGGCAGTGGATAGAATCTGCATTATTTTTAAAAGCAGGGAGAACTGATCATCTACTTAGTGCTCCTGGATTTTCTTCTGGAACAGGACTAAGTCAGTTCATTGCTATCTAGTCAATTCTGACAGAGTTTGATGTTGCCAACTCTGATTAGTCTGTTTCCAATGACATTTTGAAGAAAGCAAATAAAGTGCCCTAGACCCAAGGTCTTGACTTTGATAGAAGGAATAGTTTTAGATTTTATAAAAAAAAGAGGAGTTTGTCCAGTTTAGTGAGCCACCTACTCTTGCTGATTATGTAAGTCACGAGTCTTGACTATGTTTTTGATATCCTGGAAAATAATGAACAGCAAGTCAAATGGCTCTTGTTTCCCTCTGCTGCATGGAAAATTGACCCCAACTTATTGACTTTCCAAGCTTTTGTCAAAAACTTGGCAGTAGTAAATGATGTTGCAGAGAGAGCTGTAAAGGTTGTTCAGGAGGCATTTGAACTGACTTACTTGTAGAAGAAGCTCCAGAAAATGCTTCTTGCGAAGAGTAAAGTTGACAAACCTCTTTCCAGATCTAAAGCTACTTACAAAAAGACTGCTAAGCAACTGACTCCAGCAGAAATACTTAGTCATATATATGTGGAAAAGGCTTTCAGGAAACAGAGTTTTTCTTTTTCAGCAACAGTAAACTTGACATCAGTATTGATATTGTAGGAGAGAATGATGTGAAAGAATGAGGCCCTAAACAATGCTGAAACCTAATATGTTTTTTTCATAAAATATATATATATTTTTTAAAAAAAGTTTCATATTTATGTTGAAAGTACATGGAAGGACAACAGAAGAATATAAAATCCCTACCCCTTTCTACAGCCTTTCCCTCCCCCTCCCTCTTCTAACACTTAAAAGTTTGTCAATTTTTGTAAGCATTTAAGATTTCATTACTAAATTCTGTAAGTATGTTATTTTTACTATAGAGATTTATTACTGATATAGGAGCCCGGCACCCCTAGGGTGGGAGGGTAAGGGTCTCTGCCACAAGATACAGAAATGTATAAATCAAATAGGACATATATTTATATATATATATATATATATATATATATATATATATATATATATATATATATATATATATATATATATATATATCTTATTGAAAATCGTTAATTTTAAATAAAAACACTTTTATCATTAAGGTGATAATAAAAACAACAGATTATAATCTGTGATGACTATATCATCATGGTCGCCATCTCGGTGTTTTCTATTTACCTGCACATGGATAGTAAAAATTTATATTAAACAAAATGATTTTTGATAGACTTCGGCAAAAAAAAACAAATGAAGTTATAACATTTATTTGTCACCTTTATTAATAATAATTCTCTAATGATTTTATTAATAATAATTCTCTAATTATTATTAATAATTCTCTAATTATTATTAATAATAATTTTTTTTATTATTTATTAATAATAATTTATTAATAATAATTCTCTTTGATAATAATAGTTAATTAATAATAGCCTTTATTAATAATAATTCTCTAATTATATTAACTCTATTTAAATTCTCATAAAATTAATAAATATTTTTGTTTTTGCGTATACTTTACAGTATTTCAGTGAGTGAGAGCTGTGCTTAATGCGCAAGTAATTTGTTATCGAGGTCAAACGGAAAGTGGTCCATTACTTATGTACATCAAGTTTCCTTATATTTTTCCAACCTAAAAGTTAATTTTATTGTATTTTATAGATTTTATTATATTTATAGTTTATTATTTAACATAAGTTTGTGAAACATAATGGTGTCAAAGAAAAACTTTATCCTACTAAAAATAAAATCTAATATAATAAAAAGAAAATCTAATAAAACCTATTATAAAGAAAAAAAAAATAAATAAATAAAAAGTTTGAAAAAAAAACATATTTTTGTACCTTGTGCCAATCAATGCCAAACACCCCCGCTTATCATTTAAATTATGCCCAATATGTAAAAAATCTATATTATATATTATTAATTTTTTGTTATTTTTGTTCACATTTTTTAGTTCTTGTGTTTTTGTTTTAGATCAAGTTCATGTTTGTTTCCTGTTAGTTCTGCAACAAGTGCTTTTTGTGGTTATAATATATTTTTTCTGAGAGAAGGTTTTTGTGGAAATAACCATTTCTTGCATCCAATTCTCTAAAATGATGGTTTATTATACCAGCTGCCCTTCGGCCTAATGTTGTGTAGACTAAAATCAACAATGTTTAAAGAAAAATTCAAATTGTTCCAAATAAACTTAGATAGAATTATTGGCTATTCTTGTTGAAATATATAAGTAATAAAAAGTTATGACCTATTGATTTAAAGTAGAGATAAAGTTATAACACCTAATTATTTATTTTTCGGAATGATGTTGAATCTAGAATCTAATACCTGAAACGTCAAGTGATTACAATAAAAACATAAACAAACGTAATAAGCATACTTTTATGTTACTGACGCATTCCATATGAAGATGGAAAAAAATGTTGTCGTGTTTTATTTAACTTGTTATCGTTAGCTGCGCAAATGTTATGATATTTTATGTTGAAGTCAAACAATATTATATTAATATTCTCTGAATATTTTCTGATAAAATCCTATACTAACAACAAGTTAGCTAAAACAAAACCAAAAAAACTTTAACTTTTCGGTGGTTAGTTTATCACAGTTTTGGAGCTTTTCTAATCAAAAAATAAACCGAGTTAATAAAGACCATTGACGTGAAGATGAGCGATTCCCGTACAATACTTTGGTCTCCTTAAGTATTGAATTATGTGTGTTTTTATTTCAAAATTTGACTACATGTCATTTGGTTTACATTTACCGTCATTGGTACTTTTTTATCCAGAGGTTAGTTAGGAACGTTAGAGATTATTAATTACGATATATATTTTTATATTATTTTTACGATATATATGAGACTGCTGATGAGCTGGATTAAATTATTTATTTGATATTCTTAATTATTAAATTTTTATATTTTGTCCCAATATTATTTTTCCTAGTGAAACTTGATAAAGATTGTTATTTAAAATATTTAAAATAATTTATCAACATTTAAAAAAAAGAGTTAATTTTTTAAATAATTTTAATTTCTTAAAAATGAATTCATATGTTTTAGTTTATTCACCAGAAAAAGTTTTGTTTTAGTGTAATGTTATTTGTTTGCTGTTATTAATTATATATCGTCACTTTAGTTTAAATACAACAAACGTATCGTCAAAGCTAGTTATTTTACAAGCTATGGGGCTAGTGTACTTCTACAGACTACGGGGCTATTGTACGGGTTCGTACGAATTTCAAAAGTTTTTATTATTTTTCAGATATGGTAATAATGATAATTTTTGGACATTTAATTTTTTTTATGTTTTAATATTGTTTTAATGTTTTATTATTATGTTTAATCTTTATAATATATTTTGAATGACGCTTTGAATGGCATGCTGCCATTTTTATCATTTTTTTAACATTTTCGTAAGACAATGTTAAAAAAATGATAAAAATTTAGCTCTGATTTTTCTTCTGCGCCAAAACTAATTATTTTTAAGGTAAGTCTAGCTTTTTTACGCGTAGAATCTGTATTTTATACTATTCAAAAAAAAAAATCCTGCATCAATTTATTAATTACGAACAGTATTAAAAGTAGTTTAGGTGTTTTGAACCAGCTTATGTTTTTTTTACATTGAATGGTTTAAATATCGCTAACAGATACAGATTTTTTTTAAGGACGCTAAGACAAGAAAATGATAAAAGGTTGTTGCTACAAAAATTATTCAAACGAAACACTAAAATTATGCTTGCATGCAAACCCTCTGAAAACATGGTGCAAAACCTCTGAAAATACCAAGAACACAATCAATTAGGTAAGCAGCTTGCAGTTAAATGAAGAGAAGAATCCTTTCTTTCATGTATTGGAGCCTTGAGTCTTTTTGGTTTCTTATCGACTGAGGAAAATGATAGATTTTTTATAAACTTCAACTTGAACATAAATGATTAAAAAGCTAAAAAAATTTCAAACAAACCTAGCGACGATTAGATATATCTTATACATTACTAAACCTCTGTATAAAAGAACGTTTTGTCACAAATATCAAGTGCTGCAAAAATGTCATAAATGATATATAATACAAATCTATGTTAAAAATTTAAAGGGTGTTGTGAAAGGTTTGCCTACAGAAAATATGTAGAAATTAGACAAAACCAACTTAAGCGATAATTCTGGCAAACAGAAAGTGATATATTGTTGTTTTAAGAATCAAGATGAAGTTTGTAAATTTTTCTAGTTAAGTGCTCTCTTAGTGGCGTGCGGCTGGTGAAATCCTGCCTATCTTGTTTCGTATAAAACCACTTAAATATCGAATACGTGGATAGAGGAAGGTTTAAGAAACTGTCGTTACCAGAGTACTGAGTTAGGTTGGTTTAATTTCAATACATGGTTTTAACAATTAGTTTTAAAGTTTTATGTTTCTCAAAATTAAAATAAATAGATAATAATCGCTAACAATCTATCTAATCACCTTAAAGTTACTATATTTCAAAAGAGCAGAGAAGGAAACGCTAAATTAGTATACATCTACACATCTTGTGCAACCCCCTTAAATGATGTTTTTCTTTAAGCCAATGAAAATGGCTCGAATAAAAGTCTTATTAGATTAGAAAGAAACACTTGATGGTTTATTTCAATGTGTCTTGTTAGAGCAGTATAATATATTGTACTTTTTATCGCTTCTTAAAAAACTTATCGATTTCCTAAAATCCAATATTAAAAAAGTTCTCAATAAAGTTGCGGAATAAACTCTTTTGATGTACAGCCACTTAATAGAATTTCAAATAATACAATCAAAGCAGCGACATACCAGCTTGAAAAAGCCACTCTATCCGTAGTGACTAAATTTTTTTTAAAGCTAAGAGGTTAAAAATTTTCTTTTTTTTTCCCTGGTATTTTTTTTTTTTTTATTACGCAAAATTGAATGCACTTTTTGCTGACAAAGCGTAATTAATAAAATAAATTAAATTAAGAGTTACTCGATGTGCAATTAGATTCAAGTAATTTGCTAATTAAGCAATGTTCAACCCTAGTCTGGTCTTAGTTGATCTTCAAAATAGATCAGATTGTATAGGAGAATAATTCAAGATCACGTGATCATTCTAATGTAAAAGAGCGATTAAATAGACAGCTCCTTGATAAAAGCTTTTTTTTACGATTTGTTGAAAGCAATAAAAACAGATTGATGTGTTTATTGAAAGTTGTAAAAACGAATGTTTTCTCGGAATTAAAGAATATTTGACGAGAATGGAGCTACAGTTAGTGTCAAGATAAAATCTTAAAATAATTTGAAAAACAACATTTTTACATGGAATAAAATGGTAGAGGAATAAAAATGTAAAAGGAATTAATCTTCCTAAAATTTTGAGCAAATTAGGAATTTTTTTACAGAAAAGGAATAAAAATTGGCTTATAAAATTATAATAAGCCAAAATATAATTTTTTATTGGGAACATAAGAAACTTCACATTACTTCATTTAACTTTAATTTGTTGAAAAGCTCTTATCGTTTTTTTTTTACCGTTTTTTATCGTTTTTTTCTATTTTTATGTTTTGTTAAATTGAAAAAATATATTATACTTACTTGAAATGAAGTTTCTTAAATAATATTTCAGGGCTGATTCTTTTTAATTTTTATTTTATTTAGGAGAGGGAAGAATAACTATGTTTTAATAACAAAAAAGTATTTTTACTAACTGGTAAAGACGCGAGAGAATTCTTTGGACAATGTTTAAACAACAAATTACAAAAATCAATGTTTAATTCAAAATGATTAAAAAAATTCTTGAATGAAAGTTTTTGCTATGCATAACAATTTTTTTTTAAAAAGCTCTCTTTTTCAGTTTATACATTTGACATCTTCATAGTGTATTTTTACTATGTTTTTCAGTTAAAATGTGACCATAGGGTGTGAAAAGCAAAAGAAAAAAGTTTTATCATCTAGCCCCGTAGTATATTAACATATTAAACAAATAATAATCTACCATATAAAAAAGCTCTTGTTAACTAACCTTCAAAAACGGAATAAAGTAGCACGATAAGTTATTTTTTTAAAAAAAAGACACTTTAGCACATTAGAAAAAAAGAAATTATAATTTTGTTTTTATATAAAGATTGCAAAATACTTTATAATCATTATGTAACTGTTATAAAAAAAATAGTGAAAAAAAAGTTATGCATTTATTTTCATTGCGTCCTGAAAAATATTCAATTATCGACTTGAATTTTATTTAACTTAAGGTGACGATATTTGGTAAAATATTTTTGTTTTTTTAATTGGTTTTATGATATATATATATATATATATATATATATATATATATATATATATATATATATATATATATATATATATATATATATATATATATATATATATATATATATATATATATATATATATATATATATATATATATATGTAGTATTATGTTACATGAAAAATACGACATTATCATTAAACCTAAAGTTTTGTTTCTATCGGCAATTATGAAAAATGGAAGCTTTAAGTTACATTACAATGTTGAACTTTTCATGTAATCTAATACTATATATATAAATATTGATCTTTTTTGTAAATAATTTACATTATATTGATCACTCTTTAACGAACAAGAGACTTTTTATCTAAAAATGACGCAATAATCAGCAATATATATGTATATAAATATGTGTGTCTGAGTGTGTGTGTGTGCGCGCGCGTGTGTGTGTTTATATATATATATATATATATATATATATATATATATATATATATATATATATATATATATATATATATATATATATATATATATATATATATATATATATATTAGTAAAAACACTTATGGTGAAACTTTGAAAATTTGTTAAAGACAAAAATTAGTTTGTCTTGTTTGTTTTTACTTATTTATTATTGCTCTGTTCCTTGAGAACATTGAGCATTCTATTTGTAAAATACACCAACATGATTTATATATATATATATATATATGTATATATATATATATATATATATATATATATATATATATATATATATATATATATATATATATATATATATATATATATATATATATATATATATATATGTATATATATATTTATATATAATTTTATCTTCTGAATTTATTTTTTTAGTTTGCTTTATGAAAAATGAAATACTTATAAAAAGCTAATAATACTATTTTATAATGCAAAACAAATCATTTGAGTTATCGAATTTCACCAATACAAGTTCTGTCAATAAATACCGTGATGTCTTTTCGTATGAAGAAAACTTGGTCGTTTGCATATGTTACACTGTTGTTACTTTAATAGGTTTAGTTTTATTTATTTATTAAAAATTTTTAATAATTACTTAAGCAATAAACAAAAAAACGAAATCGACTAGCAGTTTTTGGCTTGGTAAAGATAGGCAAATATTCTTTAATAAAATAGTTGTATGTAAACGTCGGGTCATTTTTATTGCTGTTTAGTTATCAAACTTCGGCATCCTAATATTATTTCCAAGAGGTCTGAGGTTCGTTGATGGCTTCGGAAATAGTTGACCATCGGTATGAAAGAAGCCGTGAACATCTTTGTTAAATGTATTAACAAAGTATCAAAAGTTATACAAAAATATTAACTAAGTGAAAACAGTTATACTAAGTAAGTAAACTAAATAAATAGTATGTTAATAAGTAAATATTAAACGCTCATTATCGTTTATTAGACACATTATCGTTTACAGTATTGTCCACAATTATTTTTGTCGCGTCCACAATTATTTTCGTCGCGTCCACAATTATTTTCGTTTGTCCATAATTATTTTTAAATCAAAACACTTTAAGCCATAATGACTAACAACAACTCAATAATCCAAATATCGAAATGGCTGAACAAACAAAAAACAAAACAGCAACGGAAGAAAATATTGCTACAATAAAAAGAATGTTGATTGGCAACGAATCAAGTCGATCTATTGCAAATGCAACAGGGAGCGTATTCAGCAAACTTTTTTTTTGCGTAAGTTTGGCTTATGTTTGGCGTAAGTTCAAAACAGTGAAATCCGTATTCACGAAACTTGCGTAGTTGCGTTAAACAAAACTTAGGTAAGTTTTTTCGTAACTTCTGTGCTAAAAAATCGGTATTCACCAAACTTTTTATAAACTTGTTCAGCTCAATTTAAGCAAGAAAAGTTACGTTAGCTATTAGCTGCCTTAACTTTGGCGTAAAGTTAAAATAACTAAATATTAGAAATAGTGTAATATTATTATTATTCATATATTGTCAGATTGATATAGAATTTTATTATAATATATACAATTCATGTATATAAATTGTATATACAATAATAAAGTTAACAATAATCATAAATATTATTAATATCTATGATAAAATTAATAGATAATAATAATAATCATAGATATTGTCACAAATATTATTTGTGTTAATATTATTAACACAAATAATATTTGTGTTAATATCTATGATTATTATTATTATTATCTATTAATTTTGTCTATAAATTATTATGATGCATTTATATTTCAAATATAAATGCCATTTATATTTGAAATACAAATGCATCATAATATTTTTATAACTTAATAACATCTTAATATTTGTTACGTATAAAGTGTTTACTTATTCATGTATGTTTATTTACATATATATATGTGTGCGATCGTGTATATGTATTGTGTGTATGCTTGTATATGTATACATGTGTGTATGTATATGTATGAATGTATGTGTTTTGCGTATATGTATGTATGTGTTTGTGTGTGTATGTATGTATGTATAAATGTATGTGTATCATACACACATATGCATAAATAGGCGTGTGCATATACACATATATATGTGTATATGCATATATATGTATATATTTACATACATGTGTGTATGCGCGCACTAGACATACATACATTCACATACTGTGTGTATGTGTGTGTCTATGTGTGTGTATGTATGTATATGTTTGTATAAATATCTATGTATGTTCGATTGTGTATGTGTGTTTATATATATATATATATATATATATATATATATATATATATATATATATATATATATATATATATATATATATATATATATATATATATATATATATATATATATATATATATATATATATATATATATGTATATATATATATATATATATATATATATATATATATATATATATATATATATATATATATATATATATATATATATATATATATATATATATATATGCATATATATAAACACATTTATATATAGATTTGTAGGTCATCACGCTTTTGTCAGTTATATAACTGTTTAACAAACCAAAACATTGTGTATTATAATATCATAGTATTATTGTTATATTTTTGTATAATATGATCGATTTATTATCTTATAGTTGTAATATAGCGTATAATAGGGTCCGAATATATTTAAATTACATGCATCATGATGATATATTATAAATAAATATTGATATAACATCTTTATGACAACCATTAAGATGTTATATTATTAATTAAGTTAAACCTAATGTATTTAATTTATTTATATTAAAATATTATTATATTATTAATATAGCATAACATCTTATGCAAAATAATAGTAACATTGTTATTTAAATTAATATATTATAGTATATTTTATATTATTTGGATTATATTTTAAAAGATGCTGTATTGTTATAATGCAGTTATGATTTTGGTAATATACACAATTATTGAATTATTATATTCATAAAAAAAGCAACTATATCTTTATAAATATTAATAAAACACTATAAATTTACAAAAAAGCAAGTATATCTTTATAAATATTCTATTTCACAGTTTTTTGTTATATGGTACGTGTCTCATTAAGTTTAACTATCATAATTCATTTAGTTGTTTTAATAGCTTTATTTTGTTTTAGTTTAAATAGAAATTTGATTAATTTGGTCAAGATCAAATCTAGCGTTAAGCTCAATATACTGCTTTAAACGATTGCTCTGATGTAGAATGTGTTAAAAAATCTCATTTGTATAAAAATATATAAAGTATATAAAGCTAACGCATTAACAATGATTTGTCACCAAGCATATTGAGAAGCAACCCAATTTCTTCAGAAGCAAAAATGTAACTGAGAATTTTTAAGTTAACTGGGAGTTTCAAATAGTAATTGGTAAAAACTACTAGTCAATTCAAAAAAAGAATAATTTTTATTTTTTTCTATTTTTGAATTGAAAAAGACATTAGAATATAATCCTAATGCAGATTTCCTTTTTGCTTATTAACAGTCATGATTGCACCATTTAATCAGCCAACTACACCAGAAAAAATCTATTTCAATAAAGTTCACCTACAGATAGATAGTGATGTGGGGCAATCCTTTGATCATCTCAAAAACCATTGGATGTCACAAGAGACGTGAAGCACTTCAGTGCTCCTAAACATATGCTTACCCAAACTATATATTGCAAAATATATTTTAAGTGTAAGTTGCTGGAAAACTTTTACAATTCCTTAGGATTAAAAATTCCAGATGACATAAACTTTGAGGACAACAACGAAGATAATGTACACTATGTTCAGGTTGAATTAACACAAGTCAACCAATTCAACTTGGCATTGTACAAAGAACACTAGTTAAAACTATGTTATTAAATTGAAGGGGATATGGGGATATATATGATTTACGTGATATTTATGAATGAAAAAAATGAAAGTTTTTTATTTATTTATTAATTGCATATTAAACAATTTAAAAATTTATCTGCCCTTAATAACCTCTTTGTAGAATAATCTATTTTCTGAATTCTGAACCCTCTCTACCACTTTTCAACTTAAAACTATTTTCCTAATATTTATAATTTTTTTTTCTAAATAAATATTCAATAAAAAGTATTTAGTTTTTACAGCAAAGTTTATAAAAAATATTATTGTCATTTTATTAGGGTGTGAAAAATGTTAATTAGTAATAACCCCTAATTTAAAATAGTTAGAAATTATATGAATTCAATATTAGAAAAGTTTGTTTTATAAAATTACGAAAACTTGGTTTATTCAAACAAAAATTAACTTGGTTGATTTTTGCGTGTTTTTGCCTAAGTTTGGCGCAACTCGTGCGCAACCCTAACTTTACGGAAATGCTGCGAAACATTGGTGAATACCAAAACTACGCTGAACTTACGATTTCCGTAACCTTAGTTGAGCTACGCAAGAGTTACGAAAGTTTGGTGAATCCGCACCCTGGTCTTTCAATTAGGACAATACAAAACTGGATACAAAAGCTTGAAGCAGACCAAAATATAATACCAAAAAAACGCGGCAGAGCTGCAAGAAATAATATTGAAAGAAAGAGAGAAATCGAGTTATTAATTAATGCAAATAATGCATTAACTACTATTGACATTGCAGAGTTAATGCCAGAAGAACATAAATGCTCGACAACTACAATCAAAAGAGAATTAAAACAAATGGGATATACCCGTAAAAGGCTTAAATCGATCGTTGTTGCAAGAAATTCAGCTCAAGTAATAGCAACGAGGTTTTTGTTTTGCAATCATGTTTCTTTTCTGCGAAATTCAGATCTGGTCTATATTGATGAAACCAGGTTCAATCTGCATGATTCACGACATTATGGATATGCATTATTAGGAAGCACCCCGTTTGTTACAGTGCCCACACAGAGAGGAAGAAATGTTAGCCTAATATGCGCTATTTCAGTTACAGGGTGTATTGGATTTAAACTAAAGATTGGAGCCTTTAATACCACTAGCATGCACGACTGGATAGAACAAGATTTAATACCAGTTTTAAGTGATCGCAGGTATGTTGTAGTAATGGATAATGCGCGATTCCACCATTCATCAATAGTAGAATCGGCATTTCGAGAAAGTAATTGTACTATCCAGTTTTTACCACCTTACAGTCCTCAACTTAATCCTATCGAGGAGTTTTTTGGCGTGGTTAAAAATTTATTTAAAGGAATGCAACCGCGGCCTAACAATTCACAAGAAATGATTAGAGTTATTGCTGAGATTTTATTAGGTTTTACCGAATATTCTTTTGAGAATTATTATTCTCACATGCGTGAGTGGATGTTAAAAGGAATTCAACGTAATGAATTTATTTGATTAAATTATACTTGGATTTTTTTCTTGATTTCAAAAATTTTTAAAAATAAAGGTGTTTTGATTTAAAAATAATTATGGACAAACGAAAATAATTGTGGACGCGACGAAAATAATTGTGGACGCGACGAAAATAATTGTGGACGATACTGTATTAGACACATTGTCTAATTGAACTCAAACTTATTTGATTTTATTTTCCAATTTCTCCTCAAACTGCGCT